TGGCTGTGTGCGCGGTTACGGAGAGTGTTTTCTGAAATCAGATCGGCTCAGACGAAGCATGTGAGTGGGTTAAGAGAGGGAGAGAGAGTGTAAAAACATATTATGCATTATTACCTCTGTGCTTAGTGCGAATGGAGAGCTCACAGCCAAACAGGGTCTTATGTAACAGCTGGACGATGTGCTGAGGCAATGCAGTGAGCATGTGTGTGTGTTGCCTCGGGCCGTACTGGATGATGTATGCTCGGAAAAGGTTTTTAATCACACGTTGCTTTCACACTGTACACAAACACAATTTGGCTTCACATCCGATCTCCTAGGCCTGATTGTTATTTTGATGAAATGGGAATTGACCTATGGCTAAGCCACGCCCCCTCCACTCACTCGCACAAACAGTCAACATCCGGGGACTGCGCTATGGCAGCTGTCACAATAGGAGACATTTCACAGGAGGTAATTGGTGATTTTTGGAGACAGAAGGATTATATATCATCTCAAAGTCACATAAAGGGCCTTAACTATGCATTGGAGGGTTATATTCATAATTTTATTGTTGAGAAGGTCAATGAAAAGCTCCCGGCAAAAACGTACAGGTCAAATTGTAAACGTGATAAACCGCATATTGTTGCCATCACCGTTTGGTGCTACAGTATTTACATGAATCATTCAGCATAACATTGTTAACATTTGTTATCTCGGTTATTTACAGATACGTTAATGAAGCTAAGTGACGTGATGTACAACGCAGCTAGAAGCTAACGTTAACGTTTTCTTACGTTAGATATTTTAAAGATAACTTGTTGACTTAACTTAGAACAGATGTAGACATCCTTGTTTAATTTATCCACGTTTAGTTGGCGTTGTGGTCTACCGCATCACTTAAATCACATAACTTTATCCAGAGCAGACACTTATCTTGGTTGAGATGTGGCTTGGAATAGGGTAAAAAAAAAAATACACACCCTCGCCCAGCCTCTCGGGAACCTAGTGTCGGAGTTGCATGTATCCCATGCACACTGTTTGACCATTTTAAACTTAAAATGACAAGAAAAACGATTTGAGTGAAAACTGACTAACTGCAATGCATTTCAATGGATGTGGAAGCAGAGAATGTCTGAGTGTATTGGGTTAGCTGCGCAATGTGATTGGCTCATTGTGTTTGAGGGCGTGGCTTAGCCATAGGTCAATTGTTTGTTCAGAATGTTAAGTTTCAGTGAATCCTCGTTGTAACGATTTTAGCGTCAGCATGGTTCTAAAGGTCTCTCTCATACAACAAGCTGTCAGCTTGGAAAGAGACGACTGGAAAACTGGAATTTAGCCTCTGCTGATGTCTACCACACCATTCTGCTGACCAGAACATAAGCTATAATTTCATGCATTCATGAATATATTGTGTGAAAAACTGCTGATTTGTTCACTACACAGTGAATGTCACACAGTTCACTATATAAGGAAGGAGTCAAACAAAAAGAGCTTGGTTTGGGAAGTCAAACAATCCAGTATATAAAAAGTACAGTATAAAACAGTAGAGTTGCATGATTCTGGATAAATTGTGTTATAAAAAAATCTCTTTTTTAAATAGAGATCAAGATTCTCCCACGATTCTGAATAGACAACTTAACAAAACAACATGTAATTTACTAGAGGTTCTGACAAAATGTTGTGGTCCATTTAAAAAATATTTAAGTAATTTAAATTAATTATTCAAAAACAAATCTGTTTGAATGAATGATTCAATGACTCACTCAAAAATGTCACTTATTTTATTACTGGATGAATCTACACCTTTGAATAAATTTCTCGAATGAATGATTCAATGACAAATAGAGTTTTTAACAGTCACATTTCACCACTTAGAGGTGATATACAATCTTTATATAAAGCGTCAAGTTATGAAAGGTGAATGACCCTGTGTGGTTGAAAGGACTGTTTGTGAAGCTGTTTTATACCTACACAACAACTCTGGGTCAGCGGCAGCGTAATGCAGATTTAATAGACACAGGAAAATAGTTGTCAATTAAGAATAAGATCATGTGGGTGTTTGAATCGAGATTGTGATCTTTTCCAAAATATTGGAATTTTTTTTTTAAATATTCCAAAGTGATTTACAATGATTAGCCTCATTATCCTAAAAGTGTTAGGATGATATTTATGATAATGAGGCTTTTAATCATTGTAAAGGTCTGTTCATGGGGTTATTACATGTTAAATGTATTTTTGTTTTCCTATTTTCATAAAACATAAGTCTGTCAACTTGTATTCATTTACTTGATAAAATAATAAGTATGTTGTATCTTAAATCTAGGTAATGGTCCAAAGTATATTCACTTTTTACACAAATGCTAGGGTCCACACTGTACATGTTCCGATTTTTCTAAACGGCTGAGTTATGACATTTTAATTAAGAATTTTGAGGTCAAACTTAAATGAAATACTCAAAATAAGATCAATGCCATGCATTTAGAAAACAGATTTGTATAAGATTACAAATTTAATTTGGCCCCTCTATGAATGTGAGCCCTACCACAGTCTCTCTCTCTCTCTCTCTCTCATACACACACGCAATATAAATATATAAATTCTCCACACTTGTGAGCCTGCGATAACTCTATTTTTTCAGGTCTGGGAATTCCCCAAATGCTCAAGCTGGTAGGTACACTGCTAAAAGCGCATGTAACAGAGTGTATACACACACACACACACACTTCTCTGCACATTCTTTACTGTGTGTAGCCTCTAACTGTTAAGTGCCACCTGACACCCTTGTTCAGCAACTAAAGCCAAACTGCCAGACACTTGTCATAAAAAACAACAGTCAGCAGAATTAATACCCAGCCTGAGGTCAACACTGAAGCTTAGAGCACTTCATTGGAATTCTGCTTACCACAGGCTTTCACATACATCCTAAAAGAAAATATGATGTAAAGAGGCCAAAACATTTCCATTATATACTTCAAGCACTTTGCAGACCAACTCAGTAGCACCTCATTGCAGTAAATGAGATCCAGGGGGCGGAGTTGGATCCAGATCTAAGGGGTGGAGAAGGGTAGGATTAGGGATCAGAGGGCGGAGATGGGTAGGATTAAGGGTGGTGTTAGGGATCAGGGGCCGGAGATGTTTAGGTTTAGGTATGTGTAAGGTGGGAGGAGTTGGATCTGGATCCAACTCCTCCCCCTGGATTTCATATTCTGCAGTTAGGACCATATTTCCAGTCTGTTAGACAAATACTTTTATCTATTAAAAGAAAACACAGTTGTAATACACACTGTGTTCACTAGAGGGAGACAGAGAAACTAGTGCAGCAGCACCACTAATTACTTATTCTTATTATGTTGACAGATTTCCCCACACATATGACTGTGACCCACAGTCTAATGAGCTAAATGGACACACACACAGTGGTCCTGACCCATGATGTCCACATCGTCAGGGACAAAATAGGAAACACACACTAATACTATGACACAATTGAGAAAAAACAATTGAGAAAGAGCTGAAATCAAAGTAACTTATTGTCACACACTCCACAACAAAATGTAACTTGTTATAAACACAAAGAAATGACTACATTCAGAAAAAAACTCGATTGTCTACACCAATAGCACTTTCCATTCAAAAGTTGAGATCTGAGAGTGAGAGTATTATAATATTGTATAAAGTGACCAAATTCTGATTCTTTTGTCCACTTTCAATCACTTCTGTCCTGATTTCTTCAACGGGAGGGTGTTTGGGTGGGTAAATTTGTGTACTTTTTCAGATCTTTTGATCTAATGGCCAAAATAAGCTCGCGCAATTTAGAAATGAACGCGTATGGAGACAACGGAAAAAACATACAGGGAGCTTTCGTTTCTGCTCTGATAGCAGCAAGACCACACCGAATTCAGGGAGAGAACATTGTGATTGGTACATTTTTCTTCAACCAAATTTGGGTCTTCATCCAACAAAGCTTAAATCCAGTTTGGATAGTGTGATTCCCGTCATGTTTTCGCATTAGGTCAGTAGGTGGAGAGCAGGTGGTCCTTTGTGGCTGTTTGAATGCATTTGACAACATGAGCGTTTAGAAAACTAAAGCAATCCGGTTGAATGTGTTTCCACTATCTCTGGAAGTGGTCGAAAGTAGACAGGTTTAAAATGTTTTAGACTCTGTTACACCATAGACAAGCATCGTCCACTTGTGATCCGATCGACAATCTTAAACGCATCTTAATACCAGGTGTAAACAGGGCGTTCAAATAACTGTTAATGCTGCAAAAAAAAAAAAAACAGCTCCTGAATATCTTAAAGAAAATAATAACAAATGTTATGAATTAATAGCCCCTTGAAGAAATTCATCTAATCATACCATGGATCAAAAACAACAAACTGTCAACTGCTACAGGAGGAAAATTTAATGGGCTCTATGCACGGCGGTATATCCGGTTAATGTTCTAAGGATGCTTAATAACTTCCGCCGATCGTAGAGTCCAATGCAATACCGAGAATTTATATTGAATTTTATACTCTATGGTTATACTAAAGAAACGTTAGACACAAAAATAGACTAAACAGACACCCCTCGTTGTGTTTATGCTTCTTTTTTAAATGATATCAAATAAACATAAGACATATAAAAATACATCTAAACGTAGGAGAGTTTCATTTCAAGGACGGGAGGACAGTAAATTTTGAAAACTCTGCCATAATCCCGTTTTCCTCAGTTTTCCTGTACTTTAATCTCCCCAACCGGAAACTGACGAGCATCCTTGCGTCAAATGCGGAACTTATGCGTGCATATAGCCCATTGGCCAAACTTAAAATTCAGCCAGTGAAGAAGCCCTGCTTCTCCTCTCACACGGCCCAATGAGCAAAGTCACTGCTGTCAGAAATGCAAAGCAGTGTGTCAAGCAGCCAATGAGGTGGCAGCAGATGAGGATCCAGCCATGGAGGATACTGAGTGCATGACGAAACAGAAAGCTGAGGGGAGAAGGAATGGTGTGAATAAAGGAGAAGGGGCGGAGTCTTACTTTAGGGGTGGGGCAGGAGGCAGTGGAGAGGCGGGACTGCTGAGCACAAGGAGACTCTGAGGGTGTGGTGCTGAGAGAAGCGGTGTCCCGCGGCAACACCTGCACGCCTCGTGAAATGATGGACTCTGGGATCTGGAAATTGAAGACCGTGACAGTCAAATTCAGTAAACAATTGTCAGAATTAAGCATTTTCACTTAGTATTGTTTACACTACCATTGAAGTCATCACATTAAATTCCTCAAAAGTGACAGTAAAGCAATTTATAATGTTACAAAAGATTTTTATTTCGAATGCTTTTCTTTTGAACTTTCAATTTATCAAAGAATCATTCAAAAACAAGGTTTTCACAAAAAATGTTAAGTGACACAACTGTTTTTAATATTGATAATAATGAGAAATGCTTCTTGAGCACCAAATCATTATATCACAATCATGTGAGACTGAAGACCACTGTAATGGCTGCTGAAAAAATCAGCTTTGCCATTATAGGTACAAATTGCATTTTAAAACATATTAAAATAGAAATTGGTTCATTAAAATTGTTATAATTTTTCCACAATATTTCTGTTTTTACTGAATTTTTTAATCAAATAAATGCAGCCTTGTTGAGCATAAGAGACTTTCAAAAACGTAAAAAAATATATATAATTATTCTAAGCTTTTTAATGGTAGTGTATAATGATGTAAAAAGGTTGAGAATTTTTAAGGTATCTAAGGGATTTTAGCTGAAATTAAGTCATTAAATCTAAATCAAATTTAAGTAAAAAGGGTAAATAAAAAACCTAAATAATTGTGAGTATATATATATATTTATTATTTATATAAAAATATATATTAAACAAATTCTATATTGTATATAATTTTCAATGACACACATATACATCTTTTTTTATTTATTTAAAGAAATTAAACCCCTGATCTTTTACAACAATCTAATTTTTAGTCGTTAACATGACCTCCATATGTGTTGGCTGGCACGTTGCAAAGCATTAGTCAATCATAACACTGCTTATTTGCATATAGAACTCTCAAAGGCACAATAGCATCAGAGAGGGGTGGTAAATAATGTAACACAACATTAAACCTTGATTAACATGGATTTTCAAATGCTACAGAAGCACATAATATGGCCCACTAAATGTCTGCAGAAAGCATCAATGAACATCCACGACGAAGACAAATATTTGAAACGCTATGATCTATCAGAGTGATATTTGTTACTGTAGTCAGACTGAGACTCTCTGCCTTTGATCCAGCAGGCGAGACTACGTGCAGTAACAAACTGCAGCTATGCTGTCTGGGAGAACCGTGGTGGGATTAAGCAGGAGTCTGATGGGCAGAAGGGCGAAGAGCGCAGGGATCTTCCACAGGAACGCTGGGGCTTAACGGAGCACTAATTAACACTGGGGCTAAATCAAGGCCTCGCAGGAAAGAGCAGCTCCACGAGCGCTTTAATTACCCAGCGCAGAAGCTAACCCTGCGCTAATAATAGCATTCGACTCAACCTCTGCCTTCCCGGGAGACTCGTGCTACGAGCGCTCCCTGTGGAGAACACAATAATGCCAACCTGCATGACCCCATTATAATTACTATATAAAGACAGCTAATACAGGATATACACTCAATCCTCTGCTATCAGGGAAAAAGCTTTACGAGAGACCAGGCAAAGCTGAACAACAAGACAAATATTGCTTACTAGATAATAAACATGATACAAGGCACTACAGAAAGACAGTGAGACGTGCTTGCCAGAGCAAAACTAAGGTGTTGTGGGTGGCTGCCAGGGTGTTACTTACTGGCAAATTCAAAAAGCGAGACCTCGAAGTGCCAAGTCTATGATATTCTGGTCTCTATGCATATAGCTTTATGTC